TTCCCCATTAAAAGTGAAACTCTTATCTAGACAGAAGCTATGGTCACCATGTTAATCTGAACACGTTGACTAAATATAATCCACAGACTTCTTTATAGTTTAAGCCTATAACAAATTTTATAGCTTCCTGATCAAACAACACTCATTTCAAAAGTTTTAATTAGAGCTCAAATCAGCTGTACCCATATCAAACAATCAAGTCAAATTATCCTATTGCCAAGGGAGCACAGTAGCGTCACCAAATTCTGCATTTGGTGGAGTATTTAAAATACAAAAACTAAAGGTTAATAAAACACTAAATCCTCCTTCTGTTTGTTTCTTCTATATAGATAATAAGTTTCGATTTGTTTCATGTAAAGATATAGCTTTGATCTGTACAGGAGATAGAATTTAGGTGGTCTTTCTAGAAAAAGCATTCTACTAATTAGAAGACAGGTACTGCAAGGCTAACGTGGGTGTCTTTCAGCATATCTGCAATTAGGAATGAGGCGTGGAAAGGTTAAAGAAAAGTAAAAAAATTTTTTTAGTCTATTCTTGAAGCTATCTTGTGACAATTGCTTTTTCACGTTAGATTTCTGGAAGCGAACTATCTCTCAGAACACTGACAAAGAATGGAAAATAAATTGAAATATTGCTGTAGATAAGAATGGGCAAAGGATAGGCGTATCCTGTTTATTGGTCCTCCTCTTAACATGAAACATGCATACTCACATCCTTTTTTGGACTTTTATTAGTTGTCTACTCAAAATGAAAGTAGCTGTGTTCCAGCTAGGGTAAATGCTCCACAACAGCTGGATGAGATTGCTTTATGCTTTGAAGATATCTGGAATTTATGACAGTTTTATGACACGGCACATATTTTAGAGGAGCCAGGAGGATTCTTTGCTTTCTGGAAAATACAGCACTTGGCACTAAACTCTGAATCAGTATGTCAGCTCCTGAGCAAAGCTAGCATCAAATTTCAGGTATTTTGTGCCTGTTCATATGAAAATTAATGGGAATTTGCTCCTAGCTTATCTAAATGCTTAAAAAAAAAAAAAACCTTAAGAGAGCAACCGTGCTTTTTCAGTTCTTAGGAATCCATTCAGTCCTGCATATAATTAAACTCACTAGCTTTATGTTAATACGTAATACTGTCTAGACTGTAGAGTCTAGCTGAAAGTTAACACAGAACCTGCCTGCTGTTAGTTGTGAAAAACCACCATTCCTCAGCGGAAGGAAGGCTTCAGGGAAGAAACTTGCTTACAAGCAAGAAAGAAGCATGGATATTAAAAACTTATTAACGTAATAAAAGAAAAAGCTATACAGTTTCTTGCCTCAGTAAGAATTTCTCTTATTTTCATTGGCCGTTTTAACATTTGTGTTTTATTCAGGTACTCCTTAAAAATGATAAATTTGGAAATACAATTAAATATTGCATAACTGCAATTTTTCAAGAAAGCTGTTCACTGATTTCCTTTCACGTTTGTTTGAATACATCGTCCAAACTGCCCATTGAAATAATTTGTTACAGTTTTTAAACAGGGTAAGGTATTTTGTTTATCATAACGCATTCACAAAAGGGAAAGACTTGAGATTGCTATGACAGCTACACAGCAAACTTTGTTATTTCAATGTATACCTTGAAGGTCTTTCTACAGCTTTTATGTTTCTATTTTCATAACAACCACAGAAACTAAGAGAAATTCTGCTGTGTGGAACTGTGCGTTTGTCACAGGCAGAAAGTACAGTCTAGCATAAACGTGTGAAGGACTTTACAAAAATCCTTCAATTAACAATGGGCTGAAATTAGAGCTTCATCATGCTAACTTCTTCAAATTACCTAGCAATCACAAAATTTCAAGCTTCTAGAACAGAGTTAAAGATACTTAATCAAAAGCGTGAAAGTAATTTCCCGGAGGCGATAGGAGAGCAGAAGATTTTCTTCTTCCATTTCATTTGAGCATACAAAAAAAAACTAGTTAAAGTGCACTAAGTAGTACAGCATACTCCACAAGTATCGTGTCAATATGGGAAACATTCTCTCTGTGAAATAATGCAGACCTTAGGTCCTTTTCTCTATTATTTTCAACACATTGAAGAAACAGGCAGCTCAAAAACTTCAGCTATCTTTCAAAGAGAATAAGATTCAATCATATGCTGCTGCTTATTAGTAAGGGTGAGCCAACCACATCGTGTTTTGTTTTTAACATTTTCAGCCACTGGCAGCTCACCTATAACTCTGGACACTTAAAACCAATTTTTTAAATTAATCTGGCTATGGCTGAGCAGTCTCTATTAGTTTATGCATAAACCAGAAATTCAACTATTCTCCAAAACCAGTGAAAAACAATCACAAGAATGAGAGGTAAAACAATACTAAGAGCAAACATAGTTTTATACTAGAAACAAGGTTTTAATTCAATGTGCATGATTCTACCCTCTCTATGAAATACCAACAGCTGGACTTTTAAAAAATATTTTACACACAAATACGTATAAAAATTGCAGCAGTTAGAGCGAGAAGCCACCTCCAGTTAGAGGGAGAAAACGAGACCATAGAAACTGATTCCTGTTGGGAAGTGGTGAAGAAGTAAACATGCCTATGCTGGCAAAGCCACAGGCAACAGATGCTGGTGTATCAGACTAAGTTTTACCTAGATATTAGTAGTTTGTTTAGATTTTGCATTAGAAAAATTAATATAGCATTATTACAATAAAATTAACAAAGGAATTATACTGAAATAAAAGCCTCCTAGGGCCTCTTGTCGCCCTCCTCCCCCCTTTTTTTTTTTCTTCCCTCTTCATATCATAGTTATTCTTTTCCAGGACACTTTAGAACCTGTTACAGATTTTATTTGCAAGTATTGTTCCTTTAACCTATTATAAGTAAATAAATAATAGCTAACAAGAATAAAATCGGTGACTGCATAGAAAGTGCTCTTATTACTACCAAGGCAGGGAAGTTTAGGATTCATGTGTTCTGCCCGGCCCCACGCAGCAGCTCAGAGGTAGAAGACAGCTGGTCAGGCAGCCTGCAGGTAGCTCTGAAAAACACGTGCTGGCTCTTGCCCCATGGCAAGCCAAACAAAAGCAGACAGTGGTACAGGAGAAAAGTAGAAGTTATCATGATGGGAGATGCTGGGGATAAACAAGAATTGTGGAGGAGAATAAGGACACTAGGAGGAGCTGGAGGTAAGAAAAGGTTGCCTGGCAATATTTGGGGGAGAGAAAAGTAGGAAGAGAGCTGCAGTTCTTGAAGTACGATTCAGAAAGAAGGGAGAGTTCATTATAGCGAAGCTTGTTTACTACATGTCCTTTTCGATTCCATATAGAATTGATAAAAAAGGAAGCCTCTGAGAAGCTTCTATTTCCAAAAAGAGATCCTTATCTGGTATTGATAATGGTGCTGAGATCCCCAAAAGCTGGATAAACACTATTCATAATGAATACAATGCCAGATATATTTAAAGCATTAGAACACCATTAACATGGTGTGCAATCAGAACTAAATTTCAGGTGATGTTGAAAAAAAGTAAATCTTGTACAGAGAAATGAAAAATAAGGATATCTAAAGCAAAAGAAAACCAAAAACCAAAACAAAACTTCTTCAAAAGTCAACTTCATACAACTTCCTACTATTAACCTTCTCTTTCAAAGGCAGGCGTGCATTAGTTCTAGAGATGCTATATGCTATGGCTTTGCAGTAGCACCACAAGCAGAGAACCATATCACAGTTATTGGAGAAGCAGCTACAGTAAACATCAAAACCTGCTCTTCTATTAGTGCTCATAAAAATCAAGGAAAGGAATTATAAGCAGCAACCAATATAAGCAAAAAAATGACTCTGTCTCTCTACACAGATATAGAATGAAAGATTTGGAATATTTTCTATTATTTTTCCGAAGCCGTTAGGGAAGCTGTCAAGTTCATCTTTCATTTCAAGATAAGAGGGGGAAAAAAAAATATTTTTGCGCTCAGATTTGGAGGATTTATAAAGAAATATAACATCCTGCCTTTTTAAAAAGGTGAGGAAGGAGAAAAGTTCTTTCCACAAAGAAGCTTATTCTCAGAAATAGCACAATTTAGTACTAGACATACCACAGGAAGATGGGGGAGGGCTTATACCACAAGCCCGTCCATTGTACTGAAAGACTGCTTTTCCTATGGATGGGTGATCATCCTGTTATGCGGCTCAACTTCCTCCTGCATTGTGAGTCTCAAATCATGGAAAGAGTAAAGTTCTTAAACTAAAGACTGTGTTGGGAATTCCAAACACTTTCAATACAAGTTAGCCAAACAAATACATCATGGTCAGACTATTAACATCCTGGTTTAGTTTGCTGAAGCCACTATTCTTTCAAAAAAAATAATGTAATCAGGAGAACTCTGGATCTCGTTAGTTCTTTCAACCTTCTGATAACATTTAGACTAAATGAAAAAAAATTTGGAACTGCCTTAGAAAGCCAAGTACAAAATGCAAGACAATGCAACCTTCACAAAACAGACTGTCCCCAAAGAGAGACTGAATGGGATCGCACTGACAGATCCAAATAAAATTAGACTAATTAGCTACTAAAAACTCTCTCTCACATCTAAGAGTGTTACAACTGCATTTTGAGACAGGTTAATTTAAAACCTTGCATTGCTAACCTTATATTACAGTTTCAAAGGTGCAATCTCTAAAACTGCTGTTTTGAAGTGCCTCAATGGGAGGTCAGCTGTCCCTGCAGGGGGGGGGGGGGGGGGAAGAAATTAAGCTCTGCACTTCAGTTTGACTGCCGACGTTGAGGGGGGGGGGGGGGGGGGGGGAGAAGACATTTACAACATGCAGTAAAGTGACTAAGTAGGTATGAATGTTAGGTTAGGACTCGTAGCATATGTTCCAAGAAGAGAGTACAGTACATACCAGTTCCATTGCAATTTATGCAGTGAACTGTGGAGCAGCCTGCTTTATGCCACTGGCAGATTCTAATGTGTTGCAGCTAAAAGTATGCTATGTTAAACAGCTCTACAGTTACCTGATATCCTTCTGTTTTTTTCTGGCACCACTTAAGTAAGGCATTTCTCTTGGATCCTCCATATTCTCTTGCTAGGGCGGACAAGGGATCTTTCCTTTCTTCCCTAGGAACAAGGGAGAAGAGTAATTTATAAGCTGTTAAGCTTATAGCTTGAGTTACTTCAGAGAATTTCTTTCATTAGCAAATCATCTTTTCTCTCCCTTCAAATTAAACCGTCTTTCTAGGTCTTTCAATCCCAACGATACTTTTTCCAAGAGTTCAGAAAATTCAATTCAGAACATGGTAAGTTCCAGCTTGAACCATTAACCTAACTCAAGTGACTTTATTTTGTATTTAGAAAAAGAATAAACTGATATTATCTATTTCGCATCTCATGGTTGATTACAGGTGTCACCTTGAAACAACAATAAGTTTGAATATTAGCAGCACACACTTACTACAGAACATTTGCCTGAGATCTGGAGTTCTCAAAAAGGAGGAGAGAGAAAACCAGTTTGATCTACTATTCGATATACTGGCAATAATGATTCAGTTTTTTTGCAGCAAGAACGTTCAATTCCTAATAAAAGCAATCAATTTCATCTCCTGTCTATCAAACTATTTTAAGTCATTTTTATGTATTTACAAATAAGAAAAAGAATATAAGAAACCTTGTCAATTTGTACTCAATCAGTCACCTAAAGAATCTGGGATCTCTGTGGGTGAAGACAAAAAAAACCCAAAAAACTTTATTGCTTGAGAAAAGATCAGAGAAGGGAGTAATGATCCTATCTGGATTGGCCAGTTTGTTACTACAGTATTGCATTATAAACATGTCTTTACTAGGCTTCAGAAATGAACATTTAGATTTAAAAAAAAAAACTATATTAATTAGAGAGGTTGTAATTTTCTGCAGTGGCCTAGTTACATGATTCAGTATGTATTTCTACAGACACTGTAGCGAACAGTCTCTGAAAAAAAAGACTACATATTATACCTCTGTGGAGCTTGATTACTGGATGTAAAGTACGCCAACGGTTGTTTCTAAATTATTTTTAATAGTTTCCACTTGGAAAATTAAAATAAGATGGCTATCAGTGAATCTGTACTACAAAGATTTCCTTGTCTGCCGTTTTTGAAATAGTTCTATGCAGATTCTCACAATACCCACAAATATATTACCGTAAGTTAAACCTTTTGAATATTTCCAATATGAAATATAATTTGTATACATTCATTCCCAAATCTTTTAACTCTTCGTTGTTTACAACCCATTTAGTGACAGAAGGGGGTGGCAGTGGGGAGAGGGGACGGTATTCCAGTGGGTCATCTGCTGCAGACTTGCAGGCATCAGTTCTCTAGTTCTTGCTAGGGGGAGAAAAAAAAGAGCATCCATGGAAAGTGCATTTCTTCGCGCAGGTGTGCTATCAATGCAACACTAGCCACTGTTCTAGATAACAGCACCTGTCATTCATTGCATAAACAAAAGCAATCACGCACCAACAAACAATGAGATACACTTAAGATTAGTATCTTAGAATACGCATTGTAATTTCTTTTGCCAGTCTTCACTGGACTACAGATTAAAAGCTCCTTACATCCACACCCCAAAGCTCCTTAGAAAGAAATAAGGGGTAGCATTTGAGACATGCCAATAGGTGGCATTTGAACCACTGGAAAAAAATGCACAGCAGGAAAATAAACAGTATGAAAGACAGCAATATGAATCTTCAAACTTAACTGCTAATTTCAGAGAGTTTTAACATTGCAAGGAAGTTGATAATTGGATATTTTAGATATGAAAGAGGTGATCAAAATAGGTCACTGCACCTGAACTTTATAGGTACCACACAACTAGAATGGTGCTTCAAGAAATTATGTACTTAAATTCTCAAATTGCTACAGATTTCAACAGCCCAAACTGCTGTATTAGTTTAAAGGTGACCTAAATGAATGACGATGGGATTGTATATTCATTCTACAATGAGGATTATGCAATGCTACGAGAATTTCAGAACAGAGAGTAGCGATAACTTGCAAAGCTTTGTGACAACACACAAGAACTCATATTAAAAAGCTCCCTCTCTTCATGCTAAACATACTGCTTAGCCATGAGAGCGCTGTGTAGCTTGTTCTCAAATTCCAGTAAAAGCACATGGTTTATATCAAGTTCTCACAGTTATGAAAACACTGCTGAACGAAACAAATGAAAGTTGTATGGAGACAATGAGGAATGGTTTGACTTATATAAATCTTATAAATGAGTATATTAGGTCAACTGCATTTCAAATCAAAGAGCCAACAAAGTTGCAGCTAGAACAGGGCACAAACTGCAAGTACTTTTAGTGAACTTTAGTAATAACTGTTTATTTTACAGCAACTTTCAGAAAAAGGTGGGGGGAGAGAAAAAAAAAAAAAAAAAGAGAAATCCAATCACATAAATTAAAGTCTAGCATCAACACTGAAGACAATTCCCAAGAAGCCATTTATCACCTCACACCGACTGCTACAGAGTCTACTGCTGCATTGGCAACAATTTTTCTTCCTATAGTGCTTAGCATTTCAGTCAATGCTCTGGCAGCACAGTTATGATGCCATAATTACAACTATTTACAACTAATTACAACTAAATGTGTGTGCTAATACACACAATATTCATTATAGCTTGTAAAGTACCTACAGATCCATACTCAATTAAACTTCTGCACAGTGAAAGGAGAACAGCAGTGAGGTATGCTTCAACAGATTTCAGGGAAACCATTGTTTTCAATAGCATTCACAGCTGTAAATAATTTTACAGTTTCAAAATGTAATTATTACATGTCACAATATCTCATAATATTAAGAGTTTAACATGTTTGGTGTACAAAAGGTTTGTCAGGAAGTTCAACATTAAATGGTCTTGAGAAAGTCATTTAACCGCTGTCTACCAGTTTCCCAATCTTATGAAGTAAGGCTAAGTACATACCTCACTTGCGTAACATGAGACTTAAATACTTTGAAGTCCTTTGACTGAAAACATTACAGATGGGAAAAGTTTTAAATTTATCACAGACTTATCTTTTTATCTTACTAATGAGATGGGGTTATCTGGCCATTTGTTACTCAGACTTGCGTTATGTGATTTCATCTGAGGGACACATCACCCAGGCCCTTTCACTCATGGCTATTTAGGAGACTTGGCAGTGTCCGGAATTAAGACCTAGTCATGCCGCTTTTTGTCTCCAGCTGTGAATACTAAAGTTAAAAGTTTATCATGTGTTCCCCAGGGGGCCAAGCCACTCTGGAACAAAGATGCGTTCAACACGCTGTAGCTCTTTTCTTAGATCTGGCTTCATGGTATTTTGAACTGATGCGATGCCATTGTTTAGTGACATACCTTAGCTTGGTTTTCTGGTGAAGCATAAAGTTCTGGTATTGACCTAATAAGCTCTAAAAAGCCTAACTTCTGTCTAATTTCTAAAATACGTATCGAGCCGCAGAAAACACTTTCTGAAGCTCTAAAAGACTACTAAAGATCATTATTGCATGGAGGGCAGTAAAATCTACAAGCTTAGTGCTATATATTAGATACATGCAGGTAGATGCTATGAAATTAACACATTTTAGCGTACCACAAAGAAGATTTTACCTTATTCGGCTTCTGGTGGTAGGGGTGACTGATGCTGTAGGAGAAGATGAGAGTGAGAGCTGTGGTGAGGTGGTACCCATTGCCATAAGAGAGGCTGGAGATGCTCCATCAGGTGCACTGATATCCCGTTTGATTTCTTCACTACTTCTTCGAGAAACTAAGTGAAAAAAATGCCCATAGGTTATTTGTAAACAGAAAACCTTTTAAACTCATTCCTGTTATCTGACAAGTATTTAATTCACAAACCAAGCATAGAAACCCATATGCAATACCAGGCTTCAACGTTACTCTTGATATTTGCACTCTGCACGGACTTAAACTGCAACACCAACGTTTATGATAAAGCCTGTATCTTGAAGCAAAGAAAATGTGATTAATGGAATATTACTGCTTCCACTTGGGGGATTTCATGAATGGGAAGGAATTTTAACTCCAAATCGTTCATTTTTCTTCTAATCCAAGCTGTTAAGTTGCTAAGGCACAAGTAGCTAAGAAGAAGAAAGTCATTTAGAGATGACAGCTGCCTTACTTCCACTTCGTTTTAATCAAGGATTGGCATCTATGTGATGTTCTGAATATTAATTAAATATTTTCAGCAGGCAAATTTAAAGATTGACCTGAGATCATTCAGCCATATTCCACAGAAAAAAAGGCTTGCTTCAACTTATTAAAGGAAAAACAGGATTTTTAGGAATTTTTTTTTTTTTTTTTAAATAAATGAAAGCACAAGAATCTCCTTCTGTACATCAAAATTCAGAATGGCTACATTTTCTCTGTACAGAAGAGTTTTGAGTTAAAAGTATGAAGTTTGCCTTTTTTTAGGACATAAATCAAAACAATCTAAAACATATTTTCTTCTTGAAACTGAAATATAGACTTGTTTTTTTAATGTTGGTCTCAAACTGGTTTTGCCTTGTTTATGGAAAGTACCATTTTCACAGCATCACACTACTTGTGCTATACATCTTAAAGATTTGCTTTTAGAAACCACGGCTGACCCTGAGACATAAGCTTGATAGTAAACTAATGCTCTATATAAACTGGCATGTATCAAGTCTATTTTTTAAAAATTTGCTATTAACATCAAAAGTGCAGTAAACACTGAATAAAAGTAACACTGAAAAATCTTTATAGATTCTGCCAGTCACAATGACTTTTAAAAATGATTTACCATAAACATTCTTTGTCCTACAGAACAGGGAGAAATTTTGCTGTGTAGCATGGGACTACTTTTACATGCTTTAGTTAATGTATAATTTATTCATTTGTTATGTTAAAATAAACAATCATCCTCCAATTTTAGAAGATGCAGTGATTTTTTTTTTTCCACCACTGAAAAAACATTCACAAACAAAAATGAAGTAGATAAGAGAAGGAGAATATACTTCTCTGGCTCCCTCTCTGCCTTAACAAAAAAGGCACTACACACAAGTAGTAACAGGTAACAGCAAGGAACAGTTTCTTCCTTCGTATATACCTTGCATGCCAAAATTATTTTTAAACACAAGGAAAGATGACATAGAAATAATGTTTCGTGTGTGATTCATACTTATCCATCTGGTATCTTGCTGCAAGCCTGTACATGCAACAGCAAGACAGGACACTAGAAAAGCAATTTAAAAAAATGTGCTGATGAGATAAAACAGTATTATTTTACCATTGGGCTTAAGCCTCTTCTCTCAAATATTCCAATAGGAAACTCATAGACTGAAAAATAAGCCGTTCAAAATACCTAAAGTTCTGAACAAGAGCTGGGTGGTTTGAAGACAAAAGTTCTCTCTTGAAAAAGTAAGATCTGTAAGTACGCAGTGAAAAGAAGAGTCCATTAGATAACGTGACATTACCCGAAATAGACTTGGCACTTTCCATAGCAGGTACTCTTGGCAATGATGCTGGCCTGCTGGTAGAAGATGTTCTCAACAAGTGTTCTGAATAAAAAAAAAAAGAAAGCATCACTAACAAAGATTTCAGTGAAATCTAAGAGATTCAGGTAAGAGCCATGAATATTATCTACCAGCTGCTGAATGAGTTTCTCTCTTTTACTGACAACAACTGTTTCTATCTGTATGAAAGAGAAGGTCTAAAACTGCTCATTACCAATAGAGTTCACTATGAATACATCACGACCTTCTTAATCCGTTTTCCCTAAAGCCTCTCTTACTAATCTACTTGCCCCGGTCCTTTAAAAATGAATTGTTAAACCAAAAGGCTGAGCAAGGATTCTCTATTTAGGATACTGCGAAAAATATTGCATATGTCATTCCCAACGTTGATTGGTAAAGCAGATTGCTTTGTTCCCCATCTGTTTTTTTTTTTTAATTTTTTTTTTCCTCTCCCATGCAGTGAGGGCAAAAGGGTGTTTTTATATATTGTAGTGAAAGATCAGTTCTGCCTACTGCCAATGACTAAAATCAGACTACAGCAAAATTCCATTTTCTGTAACATCAAATCAGAATTAGCTTTTTTTAGTTAACATAAGTCATCCTTTAAAATAAATATTCCTTCAAATAAAACATTTAAATTGTATACAAAAGGTTTAAATACTGCTATGTTGCTGTAAAAACACTTAGAGGGCAGTAACTTGAATAAAAATAGTATAAAAATGATCAATAAGGTTTAAAAAGAATTGTGACACCTAATTCATTAATTAGAACATGACAGATAGGAAACATACACTGCTACAAAGATACTTTTAAAACATGTATAGCTGTAAACAGGAATTCTGTGTGGCATGCTTTGTCGTAATTCAGCCCTGCTCTTGCATTAGCTGACTAAAATGAAAACACAAAAACTATATAAAGCACACCACTTTTTTGTGTGTTTAAGGTTTGTGTCTATCCACAAAATCTGTAACAATTAAAGAATTCTAAACTATCTTCTTGGAAAGGCATTTCAATATTCCTAAAAATATCAAAGTATTCTAAAATTAAAACTCCAGCTGCATTGAACAAATAACCTCAATATGCATTTAACAAAAGCAAGAAGGAAATCTGGCACATACAGACTATTATGAAGTGCTACAAAATACTTTAGAAAGCATCAGGCCTCAGGAATACCAAACAGAGGAAGCATACAGGCTGGAGTCATATGGGGATTATCTTGAGAAACATCTACAAAAAAACCTAAAACAGGCATAAATCAGAGAACTACACCCAACGCATGATAGCCATTCATTCCTACAGGAAGAGCACATTGTGAACAGTGTTTTGAGAGACAAAGCAAAGTTCACAGAACAGGGAAATATTGGGAAATGGATAAATCAACACTCAGTTAAATTTCATGTAATTTTTCATCTAGCTCCTGAAGATTTTATACTTTATACAAGTTTATATTTTGTTATTGGCATACAATACAAAGTCATCCATCATCCTTGTTTTTGGGGGGAGGTGGGGGTGTCCAAAAACCACCCCATAACACAAACCAGAAACCCATCACACAATACAGAACTTAACATCAGAGGTATGCATTTTTAAGATCTGAAAAACTGTAGTAGGACATGTCCCCAACACCATCTTACGTTGTTTTTGCAAACAATCTCAGTTTATGCACATATTAAAAATTGCCAAAGCTCCCAGTCAGCAGGATGCAATCATGGCTTCACTGAAAAACCAAAAAAGCATCTTTCTGATAAGCCACCATATGTGATGAAACACAAATAATTAAAATTTATGTTTCTCTTTTTGTATTGAAAATATAATAAAGCTAAAATATTCTCCTTAAAAAGTATATTACATGATGATGCTTTGGATACTAAAAGATATCAAATACAAGAAATATTTATATTGTTACTAGAAAAGTTTAAATTAATTTGAATGAATACCTTGAACAGGGATTTCAGCATAGCTTGGTCTTTTGTCCGTCAAAGTAGCAAGGGGTTTTGAAGCTGAGATTGGTCCACTTATAGAATGCCTCTGAAAACAGAAAAGCACTTATGTCACTTAATTTGAAGGTAAAAACAGTAAAACAATGAATTACAGAATAAGTTTTATAAATTCTGATATAAGACATCATTATCAACTTAAAAGAATTAAAAAAAAAAAAAAAGGAACTTAAACAGAGTGAAAATACTTAGTGAAACTCGTTCCCTCTTTACATGTTGCTCCTCCCAATCTGAATATATACACAATTATATACAGATATATACACACACATCCATAAACTGATGTAACATTTACTTCTTTAAACTGAAGCCTGTTCCACAAACCGATGTTGCAAAATAACGTTGTAAAGTTACATGCCTTTAATTGAAACCAGATGCGGTTTTGTGTTAATTTTCAGCTTCATTTATGTTTTGTTTGTACAAACCTGTTCTAGTTAAACATGATACTTTTATTTAACCTTATACAACCACCTATATGTAGCTAACTTTTACTGCTTGTTTTACATCATTAACATGTGCCTTTACAACTTAATACCTTTTCCTGGAAAGTTAGGATAAGAGGATATTGAGGGTTGGTGACACCACTATTCTTCATTAAGAAAAATCCTACCGAAAAAAAAAGCGTTCTTTATTCAGAACGTCAACAACTTTTGTTAACATCTAATTAACTGACATACTCTATCAACAACTGAAAAAAAGATATTTTTAAGTATTTGTCACATACATGATAAAATATCAATGCAACTATTTTTTTTCTTTGCAAAGTCAAACAAAGATCTCATTTGGTTTTAGATTATTGCTAGGAGAACTATATGTTACCTTCCTATTATTCTTCTTTGTAACTTTTATGTAAAATGTTTAGCAATGCATGGCTTCTAGCAGCTTAAAGTGCATATATATGACTACAGATGCATCTGTGTTCTACACAACAATTTAGTGACCACCGGGCAACACTGAAATAGGCATTTCAGTTGCACACTAGTGAAACGTACGTTTCAGTAATTTCCCTTACGGTTAAGGGAACTCATACTCAATCGCTGAAGACTCAGGGAAGACTGACTGCATTTGTTTCTGAAAAATTATCATTTCAAAGACCCTACTGAAAATAGGCTACTTACTTTTATTACCTGCCCTTCCTATTAGAGTCTTATATTTAATCACATAATCAGTCCAGTAATGTATGTAGCCTGAGAACTCTTTCAGCCCTCTATCTGGACCAAGATTAGAAGAGAAGGTTAAATGAGCCTTATCTACATAAGACAATAACAGTCACGTATTTCTCAAGCCAAATCATGTAGGCAAGACAGACTTATCCAAAACTGTGTGCATAGGCAGGATTATAGGGCTACTAACATCTAAGAGTTTAGCTTCAAAAAAAAAATCAAACAAACAAAAACCAAAAAAACAAACCAAAACAAACTCCATCACTTCATTGTATTAAAAAGTCTGCATGGACAGTACAAAGATTACTTCTTTAAATGTGCAGGTGAATGTGACTAATTATAAGTCACACAAAAAACTTGCCTTACCTTTAAAGTTCACTTCACCCACTTAGGAAAAAAGCTTTTTTTTTTTTTTTTTTTTTTTTTAAATAAAGCACCATATCAAAGCGAGTCTTTTTTTAAATAAAGTTAAAAATAAAAAATAAAAAACCACACACACAAAGAAAAAGGAATCAGGAGCACAACAGAAGAAGATAATGAGGTTAAAAGAAAAACATTTCATTTTGGCTAGCTTTGTGATTGTCACAAAGATAGCATATTTCAGTTGGCAAATAAAGGTACATAAAAAGCAGGCACAGAGGTGGATAACCATATAGCTTTATCACTTTCTTAACTTCCGTATATCATTTAAAAACAAACATCCTTTACGGATATTGTCAGAAAGTGACGGTATTACTTAACTGATAACTTGCTGCATATGTCTCTGGTCTCCTTGTTATAAAACAAAGTATTTGCTTTTCTGGGTTTTGCTGCTGTTGACACTCTAGACAGGATTCAACTTTGTTGTCGCTAGTTCCTTATTAAATATCCTACTATTTCAACTGCAAGGACTAACGTAGTGATTAATACTCAGAAAATTAGAGGAAAATGAACAAGCTAATATGCTTATGAAGTTCTAATTGGCAACATCTATACAGTAGTATTGCACAAGTCTCTCATAATAATTTTTCCTGACACCTTTTTACCAGTGTTAGAAACATTTCTGCTTGACTGAGCTTTTGCTGAATTTGCAGGTTGGCCATTCCTCATTTTGTTTACCAAACAAGACACATCTGATGTGGAATCCAGTATGTATGCATCCTACCAACCCGTTTTTAAAGGTTTTTTTTCTCCTCTAACTAGAGATATATTCTAAAACAAGCTTAGCTGCTCCACACCAGTTGTGTCCTCCACACCAGTTGTGTCCTCCACACCAGTGTTCAAATCCCTCAATATTAAATATAATAGGATCAAATGTTCATAGGAGTCACATGCGTTTGAGGAAGGCTACTAATGGGACAGAAATTAGGAAAAATGCTTCGCAATTTGTGCTCCTGGTCTTATATTCATCGCTTCCCCGTCTACACCAATGTCTAGCAGAAGAAAGTGCTAGAAACCTTAAGGAGTTCTTTTGGATGAGATTTTTAATAAAAGCAGTTCAGACTTAAATTAAATGGTTTGCATGTTTAGAGCTGTTCCTCAAAAGTGTATGCACGCTTTACATTTAAAAAATCTGAATTTTATGTATATCCCTTAAATTATTCGCAAGGCAAAAGACATTGTAGAACAGTATTTTACAGCAAAGGTGTGTTATAAAATCACAGTTTAGAACACCTTAAAACAAAACTAAAAAACTAAAAATACTAATATTGGAGAAGAAATTATTATTTTTAATTATGAAGAACAGACCAACTTTATCCTTGGATAGAGACTATTATATGTTGAAGGAGGAAAAAAAAGTCTCTTTTTAAAGTAAATACAGTAACAGATAAAACTAAAGATGTTAAGACCATCATCCGTAGACATTTCTAGTCTGAAGACAAATTTTCTGCTACCTAGCTATTACTCTTTTCTCAATGGTTTCTTTTATAATACAAGTTACCAGCTGAACATCAAAATACTGGAATAGTGGAGTACTACCGGGCTCCAGAAGAGAAACAGACACACAGGTGAGACAAAAAAAGTGAAGGAGAACACACACCTGACTCTTCAAATTTGAGGCAAAACTATGGCAGGATGAACCAATCCTTTAAGCTCTGAATACTTTGTTTCTGACTCTTAATGCTTGTGTCCGTTCCTGGCTATGGAAGGAAATGTGACCTTCATCCACCATCCGGGTATCTATTCCGGATCACTTTGCACCAAGTACTTCAGTAAGATGTTTACACCAATGCAACTGCAGATGGCAATTTTAAAACAAACAGATGGACATAGTTCTTCACACATTAAGTAGATAAGACATGGAAGTCTTTGACAGTGAATTGTTTGGAGCCTAAGGTTTATGTATGTTCAAAGAGAGGCTGGACATTTACTGGTGAGTAATGAGCCTGTAACTACTTCTACTTCAGGAAGTTCTCCAACTACAAAGAAAGTACCCGGGAAAAGAGCAGATACGCTTGCTTGTCCTTGTATTCTTCTACAGGCATCTCCTTTTGGCCATTTGTCATGGAACAAAGCTAGCGGACTAGTTAGACTTTTGGGTTGACCAAGCAGGTTTGGTTTTAAATTCTGGAAAGCATTCTCTTCATAACTCCTTTCCTAAACTGTTTAGCAGTATTGGTAAGCTATGTTAAATAACTGCTTTGTTCCACTGCTGGCTTGAATCTGATGCCAGAAGGGGTTTTTTTGTTTGATTTTTTCAGTTGCAAAAATATATCTCCTTGTGTATACACATATTACTAAAAAAACAGAAGTATAGACTCTTAAGATTGAAGAAATTCATGTCACAGCCCAACACAAAAATGAAGCAATATGCATAATTCAGAGAGGGCACATGCTGAAGCATCCGTACTTGAAAGCAAGCATCTTTACTTGAGAGTCACTTTGGCAACCAATCCACCTTATCAGAACACCAAAATTGTGCCAGTTTCTTATTAAGTGTCCACTTAAACAAATACTCCTTCTGTGATAGCATTTAAGAGTAACTGAAATTAATGATAAGCAGCTCTGCAACACTCGTACAGAGATTAACTCTTCCACCTTTACTCAAAGCCTTAGACCAGGGAGGACATCCATAAGGTGGGAGACTATAGGTCAGTTCACATAGTAACTTTTTGAAACCTTATTTTTTGATTGCAAGAGAGCAGAAAGCACAGGAAAAAAATATACAAAGGTTGAGTAGAACAGTATAGTAGAAATCAAAGTAGTAGTGTGAAAAAAGAAGAAAAAAGATGAAGAAAATTGTTTTTGAATGCGAATCCCTTCTCTCTTGAGCATCAACTAGTCTTTAAATGCAATTTATATAACAGAGGTAACAAAGTTGCCTTCTGGATAATTACAAAAAAAAAAATCACCTATCATCTTCAAAAAGATAATAGAATGAGTTTTCACGTACATGTCCTCCCCTTTGTTTTTCAGGCAATGTTTCCTACTAATAAGTATCTAGCTTTTAGTGATTTGGTTCTAAGCCAGAAGTATAATTCAATATTCAAATAATTGTGGCAGAGAGAAAACATTAAAAGAAGACCTGTTAACTTTTTGAGTGGATTTGCAATACACTGAGATACCAAAGAAAAAAAAAGTTCATGGTTAATTTTTAAGTACGTAACATGAAATAAGCCTTAGGCTGCATTGAAGAGTCTTTTTCTGCCAAAGCTCTAGTTTAGCCTTTTAGAACATGAGATTTAAGAATGCCTTTCCCTACAAGGAAACTAGAAAGAGATTTAGAAAACTGCTGTCATGAGTGACTGAACCCCAGAAAATAGCAGAAGCTCTCACAAAAAAATTTAGTTCTTCCACATCACTTTTAAATTATGTATTTCTTTCATGAAATAATTCTCAAGTGAATAATACTAGCTGAGCACAACTGAATGTTCAATCTGTTTCAGGTATGGTTCCTAAAGCACTAAAAACCAATACTGATATAGATTCTTCAGTTCACACGGACAGGATTCGTTATTGAAATATTATGCTGACATGTAAAAAATCAAATTTTGACACTTCTGATTAGCAACATCTTGAAGGTAAGAGGAGAATTACTGGTATTATAAAGCAATAAAGCATCAATTATTTGATTTTTCTTTGTAAACAAATACAACCTCATCCCATCTACTTTGTCCTTAAGCTTGTAGGCTTTTGCCCAAATCCAGCTTTCACGTAGATAGTGAGATAATATAAACAGCAATAATCTAAAGAACAGAGCACTAGTGTACTGATGATGCAATCCTAGTATACTCAGACTTCTGTAGCAGATGAACAAATGAGACAAAGCTACAGAGGAGACAGGACAAAATACACAGTACAATCAACAACTGGCCAAAACTCTCTCAAGTCAGTACAAAATGCATTAAGATAATCAACTTACAGTGACTTCATCCCTCCCCAGTCAGGTCTGACACCAAAAGCCCACACAACATGGGATACATTTATACAGAAGATTGCTCACAGATTCTGCACGCATCTTAGTCCACTGCCCCGAGTGTTACTGCTGTCTCCGTGCCAGGCACAGGACTAAGGACTGACAAACAGCAACACTAAAACTAAGGAATGCAGATAAAGTTCTCTTATCGTACTTCTCAGTAGCACAGGAATAGTAAGGATGGGAATAATTATCAAGAACTTCCAAAGTATGCCAAATTATGATTCTCAGTGAAGGATTAAGAAAGTGCACATATTAAGTGCAAATATTAAGATATCTGGTAATTTTTCCTTAGCTGCAATGCTTAAAGAGATATTATACTAAGATGACATGTAATAACGTATACCTAAATAATGATAATCCCTCAAAAGAAAAGAGGTGCTTAAGGAGATATCTTTACGTGGAACAGAGATGGGGGACTGGAAGGAAGAGAGACAGGCTGTGTCTGCATAAAGCATTTTTTACATTTCTTTAACAAAGCTGTCCAAATGTCATTCTTTAAAGTGTAATTGGGAAAACACACTTTTGTTATTTGAACATTTTAGGAACTACTTACTTGAGACTATTTTGTTGTTTCCCACAGAGCCAGACAATGTTTGTATGTTCTGTTTGTATACCACCCATAGTTTCACGTGCTCTTCTTCATGAAGAAGGACTAAGTGCAATCACAAAACACCTACCTGCATAGGGGACACAGCAGCGGCTGGAGGAGTTTTCATGGGGCTTGGACTCAGGGGAGTGCGAGGAATTGTGGCAGCAGCAGGACTTGGAACTAGCAGAAACATAAAAAGGAAGCCATCACAAGCATTGCATTGTTTTGCAGTGAAACAGAAGACTTGTATATAGCAAACTCTCTCCTTGTGTTTTACATTACTAGTTTTCCCAGAACAAAACTTTTAAAGTTTCAATTAGAAACTGACTGCAGAGTCTGAGCATTTAAGAGTCTGCCTACACATCCATTCCTCTGTAATTACATTCATCTTCTGTCTTTGAATTCTGTATCACCCAGTAAAAACATTTTGAAGTTTCCAGGGGGTGGACAAGGCTAAGGTGCAGGATATGATTATCTTGAAAGATGTAAATAATGACATTAGTGGTTTTCTGATCTCCAGACAATTAAAGACATAGTAGCAGGCTACTGGGTCTGCCAGTAGGATGAGAAGGATACCCTGTATCACCAGCTGTTCCTTTCTCTATTCCAAAGTCCATATATACTTATGGACTACTGTTACTGTTACACAGGCACTACAAGCCTACTGTAGTATAAAACTATCCCTAAGATTGTGGGATTAAACAAATATCATGTTTTAAAAAATTTATGGTAGCAGCCAAGGAAGTGCCGAGTTGTTCAATCAGCCCTCTGATTACTTAATAGCATGATTAGGTATGAACGCTGGGGAAGGAGACTGATATCAGCTTGAAGTAAAGGTGAAAAAGAAGGCGGACTGGGTTTGACATTTTATTTTGCTCCTTTATCCAAGGACAGATCAAAAAACACTCTTCTAAATTAACACTGGGAAAGTCCAAAACAGTGCACACCTAAGAATAAAGAATATGTGTGGAAATAGAATCATTTACAGAATAACGAAATAATATATAGTTGCTTCTACAAGGTAACAAATGTTCAGGTTATAAGCCATTAAAAATAGATGTGCACAGTACAGGTACGGTAAATCTCGTCCTCCCCCCTAGAGAGACTTACAGTGACATTACTGTAAATAAATTTCAAAGTCAAAAGGCTTGGGGAGGGAAATAATTCAATCCATACAAGCTGCCAAAACTAAAACCTGAGTGTTTCCCATTTCAGGGTAATTACTTGGATTCCTTATCCTGCTCACCTTTAACAACAGCACCTGTTTTCACAAACAGAGAATCATAGTAAAGTCCGTTGTCTCTGCAGTGAGGTCTTTTTCATTTTCGAAAATATTCCTTATTTCTTTTAATAGGCAACACTGGTTGGACCTCATTTAAATTTCATTAGCACTCTTACTATGAGAATGCAAGTCATTCAAAGAAACAAACTTGGCTCTAGCTATTACATGGCTTCCAGAATGCTTAGTTTGGTACATCAAGTTCAGCACCTTAACGTGAAGACTGAAGTCAGCTTTCCTTCCAGGTACAATTGTGTGTATAATTTGTGTTTCATGTATTCCTAATATATGGGAGCACTGAATCACTGTTTAGCCTATGAGTCACTGGCAATGTGACAGTGAAGAAGGAAAAAAAAAAAAAAAACCAAGACAGCAAAAAAGGATGTTTGCGTTTAACCATAGTGAATGACCTGCTGTGCAATGTAGTTTAGGTTGGTTTCAGCCATCACTTAGATCACAACAGTACAATAAAGCAACTTACCCTTGAATTAGATAAGCACTCAGAAATATATGTGTCAACATAGGCAAATCCCTAACTCTGCACAGCTACTGCACTGGTTGAAAATAATTACCTTGGGAGGCACTGTCAAATGACTTGATGAGTGTTTTTACAGTAGGAGTTGGCTCTGAGGAAGTAGATGATCTGCGACTCAGCCCCATTCCCTGTCTCAGGGCTGCCAAATCTCTTTCTACAGCATTCATGTAATTGTACACTCGACCACGTTCTTCTTCCTGCCTGAAATCAATATGAAGCCCATTTAAATCATTAGAGAGACAATTTAACATAGAAACTGTTAAAACTTGAACACAAATCTGAAGCCAACCTAAAATCTATCGTCTAATCAAATCATTACATTAACCTAGTTTTCCTTCCACTGTAATTTAGCAATAGATTATCAGCCTAAATTATCACTGTAAACTCTTACTATTTATCAGCAAGAGACCTTAAGCACCAGGTGAAAAGTCTATCAAATCAATACTCAATTTAAAGCTTTCTGCCCATCCCTCAGATAGAGGCACAAACACACACATGCATGCATGTTATCGTTTGTAAAATTTGCAGATGAAGGACATCGCCATTTCATATGAAAACAATCAGCTCAAAGAAGGTTTTTTTCCCCTGCCTGCATACATAGAAAACAGAGATAAGTATATTTTTGACATACCTCTTCAGGCAGAGTCTAAATCATAGTTTCCAAACAAAAAAAAATTAGAATTTTAGAACAGAATATTTATGGTGGTTATTGTACTCAGTGTCACTCACAAGATAAGAACTGTTCAGTAAACCTGTTTTCTACGGTCTAAACTAATTAACTGTTGCCTTATTTTGGCTTCAGACACTAGCATACTTTCTCCAGTACAGTAGCTATACCACTTCTGAGGAATTTATTTCAGGGGCCTTTTAGTTCCTCACCTACAGTGAATTGAATGACAAAAGATGCTTGTGTTTAAAGAAATAATGAATACACTGACTGGAATTAGTGAGCCAATTCTGCCTTCAAAATTGCAACTGTAATCTCAAAGGCTTATTTTCAAGCAGTTACTAAACAATTACAATTCTGGCTTAAATGTATTACTAATAGCTGCGCATATTACTCAGTTTGGTGACCCTACTTCAGCTAGTATGCCTTACCCCCACCACCCACCCATCCAGCTCATTTTCTAGTTTCTCTGTAACCAGTCTGCTCTTCCTGTCTTCCATCTCTCTATCATCAGGTTTTTCCCAAATTACGTAGCCTGCATAATCTCATATCCAACTGGTCTCTAGGTTAAGCGTAACCTATCCTAAAAAAAGGCCATCTATGTTGACACACAAGACTGTTTAACGTATACATCACAAATATCATTGCCGTAAATGCCGGAAGCCAGACATCTGACAAAGCAGTCAGGATTCAAATGCTGATGTCCAAGATGTCTTTAATCTATGAATTGAGGACTTTAATATTTCTGGCAGCATTCTGGCAGTTTCTATATAACTGCGCCAACTAGCTCTAGTTACAATACATTATAATTCAAAGTGTTTTTGTTAAAAAGTTAATTTAGATACAAGGCATGTCTAATTATCCCCAGAAAAAAATATCAGTGGGGAAAAAAAACAGTACAAGACATGCAGAATTAGAGAAGGTGTCTTCCAATGTAAGGAAAAGCTACTGTATTTTTAACAGCTCCAAAAGCCCTGGCAGCAAATAGCATTTGTGATGGTACAGGAAAGCTAGTACTGCTCGTTTTTCATACTGAGGGAAGCTAAATCATGTCCACCTGTTAATTGTGAAAAATCCTCCCCTTCAATCTGGTCTTGTAGAAGTGCCAAATCGGATATACTTTGAGAGATAGCATACAGTACAAAGAAACAAACATGTATATACGTATATACTTTTTTAATATCTATTTGTTTATTTTAAGCACAAGCTTACCTATTTCTTTTCACTTCACTCCTCAAAGCCTACACAAAACAGCTAGCTGAAATATGGATCCTCACAGTGAGAGGATTTATGAACTTCCAGGTTCTCAGTAATAGTTAAGATACTGAATTTCATAAATTGTACCCCCCCCCCCCCCCAAGGGGAGGGGAAACTGACTTTATTTCCTCCAACTCTTTAGTAAGCTTCTCATTTTTCTCCTGAGCTTCGTGTAATCTACGCTTTAGGTCTCCTATCTCTTCCTGGGCCTCAGATTTTATATCATTTGCTATAACCACTGCAGTCTGTAGATCAGCTTGGAACTGACGCCATTCTGCTGACTCCTCCTACAAGTAAACAAAACTTCAAGTTGAAAGCAGCAGCAACATTTAAAAAAAAAAGTTATCCCTATTATTCATAGTTTCCCTATGCTGCTACAGGAAACAATTTACAGGAGTGATAAAGGCACTCATCTCTGGTATTAAGCACAGCCTAACTTACAAGTTATACTGAAGAAGCTCTGCTGGAAATAATTAGGCTTAAAACAAAGATCTTGAACTCCTTTTCTAGAAATTGAGAAAGTGTTTAGAGTAGGGGAAAAACATATATTTGAAGGTATGCATCAGACGACACAGGAACATTCTCTCCCAAGCCCAATGCCATATTTCTGGGACACGCAGAATCTTTCAGAAATTAGCTCTTTAGTCTCTGTAGTTTAGTAAACATATTCCAACATAATGCCTTTCTCTCAGAGTAATCGTTTGAATACTGTTACAGCTAATGATATCGCCTTCACACAATTTCACATGCAGGTCTTAAAACATTCCATCATACTATGTATTGGTACCTACCCGGAGTCTCCTGTGAAGATTCTTTATTTCTCTTTCCATGTCATGCTTTTGGTCCTGAAGTTTTTTAACTGTATCTGGAAAGAAATTCAAATTCCATGCAAGATCTTAGTCAGGTGTCTATTAACATAAGAAACAGTAACTGAAAGAACAGCAATGCGTTTTTAAAAACTTACTCAGAAGACTTTTTTTTTTTTTTTTTTAATATAACCCAAAGCCATATGGGGAAAAATAATATGATCAGAAATTACCCAACAAAAGGTGTCAATAGTTACATATTTCTGCGTTGGCAGCGGGGCGGGAATGTAGGGAAATCAGCATAAACTAATTTAATTCTGATACAGATTCTAGTCTCTTCTTGACCCTTCACAATATTAGCATGACAAAGCAGCGACAAAGAGCAAATACAAATGGTGTATACAAGTAAAGTAACATGGAAGGATCCTAAAAATACGGATGTTTGGGGGTTGTCCTCTTCAAATATAAGTTGGAGCTACATTAAACCTTTTGATTCACATTCCTCCGACACAAAGCTGCTGGTGAAGCACTCACAGCTATGCCTTCAACAGGGATAAAATTCTACTCGTGCTCAAGAATCTTACGTCCTGGTGTATCAGACCACTGTTTGAAGTTGAAATATGCTATATTTAAAACAAAGGGACAAAGAGTCAATGAGATCATGCTATGAAAGAGAGAGGGTCCCCTAAATCTGTCAGCAGCTATACAAAAGAGTATGCAGCTTGATCATTCCCAGCTCCTGATTTGGCGTCTGACAGGCTGGCTACTGCGAGTATTCGTTTGTTACTTTATTCAGTACACAAGGACAGCGTGATTGATTACTCCATTCATAACTGAGCAACTGATGAAGAACATCATAGAATAAATTTCTAATTAGTGTATCACCTCGCTGATCCTTGGATCTTAGGGACGTTTTATTTCTATAGCATTGTGTAGCTACGTCAAAACAGTAAAAACTCTGCACCTGCTCACAGGTACAGCCAACTGTGATTAATTATGTTTTTTAGTTCAGGTTCATTATTTCAAGAATTGTGTGTGTGGGGGGGGAATGTTTATATTAACAATACTTTTATCACAAGAAGATTGCAGGTACCTGTTTAGGCTGTTAAAAATACAAAACTTTGGCAAAAATTCATGAAATACACAATTTGTTTGAATAGTCAGAAGATATACAAATACTCTAATATAAAGGGATTGATAAGGTAAAGTTTTAGGTCTCTCATTTTGTAACAGGCCAAACTTTCCAGAGCTTTTATTTGGATATCAGGTCTCAGGAAAACCATCAAATCAGGATTCATTCAAAGTCCTTGTTCTGCCTATACCTTTGTCTCTGCAAGTAAGCCTAAAAATGTAATATTCTTGGTTTTCTGTCAAAGGGTTTTTCTTAACAATGTAAAAGAGGCTATGGGAGGTCAAATGTAAATCACTAAGCATTTCAGAATGTTTAAATCGGATACAAAGACCACAAACAGGTTTAAACAGATATGTGCCGATTTGTACATTTGGCCGCCTCGTTACGCTCGTAAGTGTTTGAATGTTTCCATTTTTTAACTGTGGAATTCCTTTCAGTTTCTTCATCTGAATAAATTCTTGAGTTTTGTCTCAACAGTCCAGCTACAGAGGCTTTTAATGCCACAGCTAATTTCTTTACAAGAACGATATAAACCTCAGTTGGCCTGAAAACATGATAACCTTTCAGGCTTGGAAAAGTGGAAATACTAAAGCTAGACAGATACTTCTATTTTTATCTCCCTCTTACAAGACTGCATGTTTTATAAGACACGTCCAACTGATCTCTAAGTCTGGAAGATAAGCCTAGCAGTGTGGGCCACTCACGTCACATGCTGCCACCATACTCAAGCAAAGCATTCCACTTTTTAGCTTGTCTCAGCATACATAACCTGGCTGAACAAAACGCACGGGGATGCCAGCTTAAACATCAAAGGTTTAAAAGTCTTTCACCCCCATCACCCTTTTTTTCCTTAATCACATGCTAAAAACCCCCACTGCAAAACAGATAACTTTCAACACTGACAGCAACTCAACAGGCCCCAAACAGCTTCCAGTAGCAATTGGAAACAAACTGTAGCAGATGACCATTTTCTCTTTTAAAGACAACTCAAAGAAAACATTGCTCTTAAAAATACAAATTTATTAGTCCAGGCAAGCTATGGTTCATCTAAAAATAACCACAAACCAGAAACGCGAAAGGCATCCAGAGTTAAAGCTTGTGTAACGCCATTGTTTTGAGTTTTTGAGAGATATGAAACGCACCATTAAGTTTTAGTATATTTATGCTTTGAAGTAAAACACAATGGCCTGAATATTCTACAGTTACTATAAACAATACAGAGCATTTTACAGCCGTTTTTGAAACGGCCTTCCCTCCACTCCCGATCCATAGCGGAGATTTAAAAAAAAAAACAAAAAACCAAAAAAACTACCAAATAGCAACTGAGAGAACTTGAAACCTAAATTAGGACTACAATCAGTGATTTCATCTCTTACAGTCTGAACTCCGTTCCTCGCACTGTGTCTGCCAATTACAGCCTGAAAACTCAAGCAGATAAAGCACGTACACAGGCAGCAGCTCTCTGCATGCCTGCTTTGTGGTATCCCTCCTTCCTCCTCACAACCTCCCTGATTATTCACACCCCTCTTAACACCTTCCAACCCGTTCCAGGTACTTGTATGTGCTGCCGCCTGCCCCAATTTTCAGTACAGTGGGTGAGAAAGTTAACCAGGCTCCTGTTTTTTTAAGGACAGACAGTACAAAAGGTGAAGACAGGAGGAAAGGTGACTATTGTTAGGGGCAACTGAAGAACAAGGGAGTCATCTGGATGAATGAATAAGATAATCAAAGCTGGCAAGTGCACAAATCAGCAAGCTGCTTGTGTTTTACTGCAAGATTCAATTATGCCTATATTTTACCAAAAATATTAATTGAAATCATAGCTTGACAATTCCTTGCTTTTTAAAATGTAGCAATATAAGTTATGGGAAATACAGACTACAAATGGTAAGGAACAACATTACAAACTTCACCTGGGGGGTAGGGAGGGGGATATTTTAACAGGGTATCATCTGAATTTCATAATGCTGCCAGAGGAAAAGTACCAGTCAATTCTGTACCTCTAACATCTTCTAATTAGCATTAGCAGATAGAATCCATCGCTACAAAATATTTTTTTTGACCAGTTACATTGGTTTGTCTTGCTCTAGGATAGCATTTCCACATTTAGTATAGGAAATGCTATCTTAGGATAACCACATCTACATAAATAGAGCTGTGCCCACTAACAGTGAAAGTAGTGGGGCTTCCTTGAATAGGAAGAAGCACTGGTCAAATATACCAAGGCACAGGCAGTTTCCTTATCAATTTTGCTTTTGAGCTTATCGCTGACAGACAGTTGGTCTATATAGCAGGACAGCTGTTTTAAGTGCCCAACATTAGCAGAAAGGCCTTATGCTAAAAAAAAAAAAAAAAGTTTTACTAACAATTAGAAAACTAATACTCAACTGACTTTTCTAACTTCATGGTAGAAAAGGCCTACATATGGTATGTAAAAAAAATTAGTCTCTTAAATGTCAAGACCATTACAACTATGAGATACAGCAGAATTACAAACTAATGTCTATAAATGAGATATTTATTCACTGAACATTTAATACATCAACCTTTTTACTCAGCTGCCCAAAAAGGTGGACATAAGTATTATCAAAAAATACAACTTTAATAAAAGATTAAGATAATTGACATGTTCAGCATACATAGCTTGTGCTAAATGAACGCGGAGATAACTTTCAGACTTTAGAAGAAACATCTGACAACTGAGAAGTTAATTACAAACATCTATTTCCTGCAAATCAGAAGACAAAGTTTGCTGAAAAATTTCCCCTCACAACTCATTTAACTGCTTGAGAGAACAGATTTGTTTTTTTTTCTGTTAGCATTACGGATGGCTAACGTGACCGGTTGGCTACCTGACCGCTGCAAGGTTTCCGAGAGCCAGCGGGGAAACCAGAGCAACGCCGCCACCTAGCGTACCGGCCCTTCGCGCCGCTCCTACAGCGCTCTTCACCTCAAGGCGCTTGTGGGGATATAAAACGCACAGGTTATTTTAATATTTCTTGGCCTTTTTAGATATGATACAGAACCACTACCTTAAAAGTCTCTTTTTTTTTGTGTGTGTGTGTGTGTGTGTTTTAAGAAGAGATTAAAAGAATAAAGCTACAGCTGTCACAACTGTTTTTAAGAACTGTATTACACGCAGCTCCTCTTGCTCCACGAATAGCGAGTACAGCTGTCACGGGGCACAGGTCCTATCACGTCTGTACTGACAGCAAAACTCACTGTGTAGTTTTTAAGCAATGCAATTTATATTCTACTGTCTACACTAAACAGATCACATTTTTGGTGGGCACATAAATATTGACAACTAAAATGTGATAATTCAATATTTATAACCACTGTAAAAGATATCTTTCATTTTACGTTCTGATGTACATCGTTCAACGGTTTGGAAAACCTGCAAAGACACACGCCCTAACTCCCAGTGCCAGAGCAGTTCATGGTACCGCATTACTAATTAATGTTGACTGCCCATGAAATTACCTTAACACTCGCCGGTTCATCTATGAAGCATCTTTCTTCTAATTGCAAAGTCTGATTTCTGTGGATTCTTTAGCTGATAATTTTCCATCATTTATCAGTAGTGTTCCCATGACCTTCATTCACTCAGTAACTTTGCCGCTAGGCAAATTCTCTCCCCAAGAGATAAATTCCCTCATATTTTAAAATCTAAAGGAACAGCTCACTAAAGAAAAGCTTTTATTGCTCTTTTCAGTTGGTTATTTCAGTTGGGAAAAAAAAAACTTCTAAGTAACATTTTATAATACATAAACTTGCAATTAAATTCTCCATATTTAAAAGCTTAGACATCACATGTTTGGCAGTGATGACCAGAAATGACTATCTAAATCTGAGCATCTGATGAGCATAAGAGAACTTACTCTTGAGATACACTTTTTTGTCACTTTAATACAAAATACAAAAGACACAAAGAACTTCATAGTTTGTATGTAATAGCTCCAAGTCCCAGATTTTTTCAAGAAGCTGTTCCTTGGTGTCACTACTTTAAAGGCTACCACCAGGAAACTCTTGTACGAGTTTTGGTTATGAATAAATAATGAACTAAGTGTTTTAAAGAAGTCATTCAGAGAAAAATATTTTTACAAGTGTGGATTATACTACTCTTTAGCTGCCATTCTTTCTTATGACCACTAGATGCTACTCTCCTTCCTGCCTAAACCTAAAACGCTCAGCTCCTCCTGAAACAATCACACCAGACCATCAGTTAGCAGAGCTGAATTTTCCAAACTATTTCTAGTCATGAGTAGCAAAGACTGCCACAATTTTTCTTGAAAAATCCAGCCCAGGTAGAATTTTGTCCAGAAGAATTTTTTTTACCAGTCTGAAATATCAGACATAGCTATTTTGTAAGACTGCAGAAACATTCTTGAAGATATCTGTCAAAACTATTTGTCCCACCCCTAAAGTAGACGCGCATAAAAATTAGAGTTGCCCTTTAATTAGGTATTATTAATACCTAATTACTGCATATCTAAGTGTTGACTTGACTATGGTGCTGTTTCCTATATGCACATAATTAAGCTAATAGACAAAAAAATGCAAGTGGAAGAACACTCAAACCTTTAAGTACTTGCTAAGGAACAAGATTACAGCCACTGGCTGCATACTTGAACTCCAGCTCCATTCTTTGGTTTGGCATAGAAAGAGTGGGAAAAAAAAAAAAAAAAGAAGAGCAAAAACCTAGATCTATTTTAGAAAGGCAACCACTGTTTCTCTTTCAAGATAAGGAAGTTTTGCTTAGGAAAAATAAGCTGACAGCAACATGTCTGAAGACACTGGGCTTAAGTTATATTAATAGCTTGCCTAAGACATTACCTTTTCCTGATAGCAGATCAATCCTTATCATGAACATTGCCCTCACTGTTAAAACTAGTAATACTTTGGATTAAATTTGTTTAGTCTTTGTATACTATGGAAGAACAGCAGGTATTTGAACTCCATAAAAAGTACTGTGCCAAACAGCTCCACAAGGTACAGAAGCCCACATTCAGGTAGGAACACCTGAGCAGGTTTCAGAGATCAGAGAGGGAACTAAAGCACAGAGAGCTAGACAAATACACAGAAAACATGAATTTCATTATCAACCCCAAGCATTTCTTGTACAGTGGCAACAGTCAACAGAAAGCTGTATTTCAACTTTCTTGAAGTCTGTCAAATTCATTGTTAGGTTCAGATTGTTATCATAACACAAGCAAATCTACACAGAAAGAAATACATAATACTTCCATATTGTCATGTCAACTATGATACTTGTAGGTTTTAGGGCCTTCATCCACCCGTTTCTCCACCAAAACTACCTTTCTTCAGGTGAAAGAAATCATCAGTTATACAGATTCTCAAGCTACCTAGTAACTGCTGATATTTTGGCACTCAAAAAGAGATCATTCTTAAAAAAAAAAAAAAATACATCAGTCATCCAGTCTTCAAAATGTACAAGGAGCATGCTATTATTATGTCTGTAATTATGTGTTCTTCTACTTTGAAAAACAACTTGAACACAGCATTATCAGATTTCGCACTTATTCTGAATTCACAGGTTTTTGTTCCCACATCAACTACTGGAACTGGAAAAACAAAGCCAAGCTGACTTTTCTTTCTATAGTATAAAGGTTCTACAAAGCCTGGCCTAACTAGAATTCAGACACATGAAAGACAAGTGAAAAATATTTTCACTATTTCAGCATTCTATTTTAAAGTATCATCTCTCTCACAAGAGAAACTCATAACACTTACTCTCCAAATCAGATATGATGAGATTGTCATGAAGTTTCACAGCACGATGCTGCTCTACTTCATCCTCCAGCTCAAAGATAGTTTCTTTCATGTCACTTCTCTCAGTCTCTTTCTCGTCCAGCTCTGTCCGAAGTTTTTCTAGAGTCACGTTGAGATCCTCAATTTGTTTCTTGGCTTCTTCTTGGAACACTCTGTATTCATCTTCAACCTGAAAAAGAAATGCCATATCGTAACATCATAACTAAATTGATTGTATTTTTAAAATACGATTTGGTTTCTTTTGGTTTCATAACTGCTATACTTAAAAGTATATTTTCACAACCATAAAAAAGTATGGGCCAAGTTAAATATAAGCCTTTGAAAATGTACTGCTATAGTGCAACTATTTTCCTGAGTCAGACTAAAATGTTTTTGCTCCCAACCTGACTACACGAGCTTTCCGCATTTACTCTGTAACAGCGGTAGCCTACATTCAGGCAAAGCAATACCACCATAGTACCAAGGCTGTGGTTTCATGAGTGGCTGATCCAATTTTACATCTAGCTGCCATGGAAAATGGAAGATCTCTTTACCCTTCCTTTCCCTTGCCAAAATAGTCTGCTCTCTCCCATACATCAATTTTAGTGCTTGCTGGATTTGAGACACGATTCGTTTCCTTAGCAAGTAGGAAGCGTCACATTTGTGTGTGTGATGTGTTAGTGAGCTAAAGTAGTTCCCAGAGGAGCCTTACAAGCTATTGAACTGCCTCAATAAAAACAGGGAAAGCAAGAGGTAGCAGACTTCTCCCTTTTGGGAGCAGTGAGACTGTTTTATCCTGCCACATGAAACTGCAACTTAAATAACAAGCTGAGATCAGAGGCACAGTAACATTAACCCCCATGCCCAACAGCAAAAATAGTGTCAGAAAAACAAGAGAAATTAGGTCATGGCTTAGGGTGGGTCACCACAGTCAGGCATCAATTGTAATCCACAAAACGGCCTGCGTTAAATCATCTGTTTCAATTAATTATAACATCAATAATACTACCCAACACTAATTATTAAAATTCTAATTTTTTTTCAAATTAAGAGCAATTCTAACTGGCCATTGACCAAACATGTTGTTTTGCAACTAACACATAGCTCAGATATTAAATTTGGCTTAAATTTTCTCATCAGGAAGACAGACCTTTAAATGCATATTTAAAGCTAACAAAATACATGCAATCAGATTCTTATTTTCCTACTATATTAAATTGTGGTAAACATTTTTACTAGGTATTTACTCAATTAGTTTTATTTAAAGTAGATGTTCTAGCGCTTGAAGAATACATTCCGATCCAAAACCCAATTAACACACAAGCTGTTCCTGAATGAATCGCTAGTGAAAACTATATGGATCCCCCACATTTAATAATAACTTTTAAAAAGCTCAAAGTGATTTTTCCATTTAAAACTAAAACCTCTATTTGATAAATTAACTGCTGCCACTATCTCCCTCATAATTTGTAATTTCTTGATTGGAAAAAGATGACACTTTCCCTTCTTTCTTAATCATTTGTTTATTGCAAGTTAATTGAACCAGCCTGAATAAACTGGAACTTGAAAATACTCCCTCTACATCTGTAAAAGGTCTTACAAGTCATCAACAGATGGATTACCACCTGAACACGCTTTGATTCCAGGTGCTTCTTTCATGACACCCCTCTTCTACCAGTTTGGAACTAACTCCTTGAAACTCTTGCAGAAGGTACACGACTTAAGCACAAAATCCAAATAGTATTTAACATAATTTATCAGTTCTGCCCTCAACATAAAAATATCCTTACTGAAACTCAGCAAATTAAGAATAAAAAAAAACAGCAGTTATCCTGTGGCTGAATATATCTACCTAGTTTTAAAAAAAAAGACTTACACCATTTTTGTAACAAACGCTGAGAAAGTAATCAATCCTAATGTTACCGCAATCTGATAAACCTCATAATTAACCCTTTCCTTCTAGAAGAACTGCAATGATCTGAAGAGCCATGGTATATACACAATGTTAACATACAACAGCTTGTTTTAAACAGTACCTTAGCAATAGCATCCTGCAATCGATTGGCATCATTGCGAGTGTGTGCCAGCTCTTCTTGCAGACTACTGGCCAATGTCTCTGCTTTTTCTTTATCCAGTCTTACGCTCTCCAGCAAGTCTTGTATATCTGATTTATCTCCAGAGTTGTGTATAGAATACAACTCAGCCACTTTCTGCTTTTCATGCTCTAACTGAGCTTTCAGCCTGTTCATCTCAATTTGGTCACTGGCTACCGTGGCTTTGTACTCCTCTAAGGTAGATGCTATTGCTGTCTTGCTCTTCTGCTCTGATTCAATAATCCGTTCCATGTGGTGATTTCGTTCTTTTAATGCCCCTATCATTTCTTGGGCCTCCTTGTTGTCTTGTTCTGCCATCTTCAACGTGTTGCTCAAGTGCTGCTGAACACCTAACAGCTGCTCTCGCTCAAACCGAGCATTCTCTGCAAGGTCCATATAACGCTGCTCTAACTCCATATAGCGACCACTTTTCATATCTTCATCAATTACATATGAGATATGGTGTTCGTCTAAAAGGGATCGAAAATACTCAATCTGCCGGCTGAAGTGTTCTAATTTGTCACTTTGCTGGCACAAAGATTCCATAAGGATTACTTTCTCTTCTCCAAGTCTTTCATTCTCACTGTTCAGCTCTTGTGTTATTTGTTGTAAATCTGCAAGCTCTTGAAGGGTTGCTTGGAGTTCTTCTGCTGTGCTGTGTTGGTTCTCTTCCATCTGATGTATCCGTTCTGTCAGGCAAGCTACGGACACTTCACTGGCATTGCCACTGCTTCCTTTCCTAGATCTTTCTATACTTGGTACACCTTCCGACTCCGAAGATGATGGAGCATCTAAGGCATCATCACTTGATGTCAGTGGTTGATAAACTTCACTGCACTCACTGTCTAAATTATCCATTGAATTACTGTGCTGATTGTCCATCAAAGTATTTTCATCTTGACTTAATAGATCTTCCATTGATCCCGGGGCAGAACCTTCCACTGACGATGTCAGAGTACCACCACCATCACTGTGGCTGCCTGCTGTAATCTCTGGGCTCAAAGACTGATAGCCAAAGAGCTTTTCAGAGTTGTCCAGCCTTTGTTCCAAAGAAAAGCCTAAAGCATTTAACCTGTCTTTTAGCATTCGATTCTCATTTTTCAACTGGTTGAGCTCTTCTCGGATGGCAGTATTTTGTTCCTGTAACTGTAGCAACGTGGACTCTACATCAGTGGGTTGATGGACAACAATGGCCTCTTTTTCTTCAGATTTTTCATCACCTTCAAGTTGATCTTCATTAAGTCCTAGCTGAGCACGCATATCCCTCAGTTCATTCCTCAGATGCAAGATTTCCACATCCTTAGTTTTTGCTAACGTCAGAAGATCATTCACCTTTGCTTCCAAAGCAGCTTTGTCACTGATCTGATTGTCTGATTTGGACTTGCTCATTCGAATATCTGATTCTGGATTGGTACGACTACGAGAGCGTTTTGCCAGTACCATATCATTGGTCCCCTGTCCAGTCAAAGGTAGCTTTTTGCTCTGGCTCAAACGAGAACGATCACGTATTCGCTCCCTAGAAGAACTTGATTCTTTATTTCCAGATGAAGTGCTACGCTTAGTTGTGGAACTTGTACCTATATGTTTTTTAAAAGTTAGGGATATTAGTTTTAACAAAACCAATATCTGTAATACAAGACTATAATTTATATCAACTATAGAATGGTTCATGTTCCAAACCACACTGGTAAATACATACCATAAGATACATTTACAGTTAATATTCACACAACCTTAGGCTGTCTGAATGCTCACCAATCAGTACAATTAGATTTTAATTGATACAGCTATGCTTCAACAGTATTTTGAAAATGAGTTAAACAAAGTTTAAAATTGAAACATCTGCAAATTTATTTTTCTATCTTAAACTGCTTCTGACAGACTGTACCCTCCCCGCCAAAAGTGCTATTCCTGCAAATTCAAATTTGTCCCTTTTCCAGTAGATTTGAATGTAAGCTTTTAAGGGATGAGTTGTGTATTATGAATTCCCAACGTGAAACTTAAGTTTTAAAATATTTTCATCATATTTGAAAAGGATCAGGCTGGCTTACTATTATTACTACCTTCTTCCCAGATACTTTATAGCTTTGCTAGCAGTACTGAATCCAAAATATAGCAATGGAAGGCAAGAAGTATTTCCATCCATATTGATAAAACAATAAATAATACCAGTTTCCTGAACAGTTTATGAACTGTTAACTGTAATGCTTCATTTTTATAAAACAATACAAAATACTAAAAATGTTGACAGTGACAAGTTCTCATATCCTAAAGATGTAACGATTGTGGTATGGATCTTTTTAGATAAACTATAATTCTCTATATTAATTATACTACCTATTATATGTCAGTTATCCTATTGGTACTGAAAAAAATAAAAGTAACAGCCTCCAAAACTATGAAAAACTATAGGTAAGGGTAATTGCATTATTACAAAACAGGAAAAGGAGATCAAGGCCACAGCACAGGAGGTGCTTGATCCGACTGTGGCCTTACTGACCACTTCATTAGGCAGTTTGGACCTTCGCTACATAACAGGAAAATAAAAAGTCGTCCAACCACCCTCTGTTAGGGTCAGTGTATCCTTTTACCTGAAACAGTTTTTGGTTTATTTTCCAGACTGTTCATGGTGGTCCCTGAAGCTGAAGATGCTGCTGATACACAAGTGCTCTTCTTTGCCTTGACACCATTGGTCATCGTCACTCCACCACCACCAGCCATCCCTGCTAAGAGGTCATCATTACTCTTAGTCTGAAAGAAAGGGAAAAAGTGGCTTTAAGACAGCTGGCTGAGAAGTCTCCATAGCCAACAGCTCTTATCTTAAAGATTCCATCAGTTTAAGGTTAATATCTTGAAAGTATACATATGACTATTCACGCGTCTATGGAAGTATAATTGCACTGCACAGAGCAGGTGAATTGAAACTGAACTTCAGATTGTTACATATGACTGACCACAGAAACGGAGTCTTCTCTCTTCTAGATAGAAGCCAATAATTCATTTTTCAATAATAAGGAGAAAAAAAATTAACAGAAGCACAGTAATAAAATGCAGTGTAATACTTCTCAACATCAATTGAAAGATTGCTCAAGTATAAGCATGAATGTTATTCTTAGTTAATTAAACCAGCAAATATTAGGAAGTTTGCATAATGTCCTGCAAAAGTATACAAGAATATAAAGTGTTTTCTGGTGGCCACATTCACAACAAAACCAACCAAACAAAAAAATCAACCCAAGATTAATAAAAAACTATTTCTAGGTCAAAACACTCGGCCACAAATCACTAGGTACCAGGACAACATTCCCTAGGAGTGGGAGGGGCCCCACACTCACCATATATCCTTGCCTTCTTCTCATGCTCTGTACTAGGCACCCTCAGAGACAAGATATTTGTTAGATGGACTTTTTCCATGATCATTCCTGAAACTACTGTCAGCCACAAAAGCTCTCTAGAACATGACAAGACAGTAAGCCACAGGAGTCTCAAGAACCCAAGTTCCCAAATCAAGAATATACCTTTCAGAGTAAAGCAAACTCAAGAAATACTATGTTCTTAAGTATTAATTGGCAGATTTTAGAACTCTTTAAAAATGCAATTTGTCAAATGGATAAACAATCAAAATATGTTAAATATGCTTCCTGTTTATAAGGACAAGCAAAAAAAATGAAAAGAAAGCATCTGTATTAGCAGCATTCTTTGAGTAACTGTATTACTTAGCTGGATAACACATCTGAAGTCCCAAACAGCAACCCACCTAAAAGAGACAGTGCTTAGGACCTAAGCAATTGCTTTACATCATGACTTCCAATTTCTGTAGGTTTATGATAACTTCTGCCTCCCCTATATATTCATTTTAAAAACTGTCTGCTAGATATTATGATCCTATTTATTAAGAATGAAGTTACAGAAGCTTAATTAAAAAAAATTGCACCTCCATTCTATATAGTAATTTTTTGCAACTGATTATTTTAGAACAGTTAGGTACATTAATCACAATATCGTGGGGAAAGCTCAGAGCCATGGATATGACTTGTGCCATTTTCAAATGAGACTAGCTGCAAAACATGAGGGAGCTTGGAAAAAGAACATATTTGTTCTGCATGCAGATGTTGGAAATGCACATAATTGACAGATAAAAGCAGGTTTTTGGGGGGGTAAAATCCTCTATGACAAGAATGTTTTTTACTGAATCATGTAAGAAATGGTATAGCCTTCTAAAAGGATTTCAAAAGTTTGGAAGAAAACGCAGCACTCTGAGGGTGCAGTTTGATGTGCATTTAAACTGGCTCTGCTGCTCGGAAAAAGCCACTGTTCCTCTGCCCTGCTCTTCCCCAAGCGCTTTTCTTGCCACATTCTCTCTACACATTGCGCTCTGTAAACTGAAGCCTTTCCAAAGGCTCCTTCCTGCCAGAAGCCAAATCGGTTCCTTGATCTGCTGTGTCACACAGCTGTACAAAACAGCAGAAGCAATTTAAGTCCTGGAGGAGAACAAAAGTGTTGGGGGGGCTAAAGAATCAAAGTACGCGCTATTCTGGAAAAAACCTGAGCTAAGCACAAACTGTTATCGTATGAAAATCCTCTGCTAACCTGTGCTATCTTCTTAATATATAATCTAATCAGACTTCATATCTAACGCAAAAAAAAATTTCACGGGCATGAGTGGTGGGGAGCAGCGGGGAGGGAACAACTTTGTGATGCAATTATTCATATCACCTAAAAACAACTGATTACAAAAAAAACCATAGAACGATGCTTATCTATTTTGCAGCTGAATCTGACAGCAAGTAAACACATGATAGTTCAAACAGACTACGGGCTGTCAGCATTTTTGCCTTGTAAAAAGAGTGGGAAATTAGATTAAGCTTTGAGGCACTTATAGCACAACTAGATGTTATCAAGCCAAATAGGTCAAATGCGACTCAGCTTGAAGAAAAAAACCACAAAATACACACATTCTGACATGAGTCATCCCAAATCCTTGCTGAACAAAGGAATTCAAGGCTGCCATTCTTTTTCTGACTTACCCATAAACTATTTCTAGTCTAGGTTGTAAGGCACTGTAAACTATTTCTAGTCTAGGCTGTAAGGCACTGCCTCCTCCGCAGCCAGTTAGTAATCATTTTCTCTGAACTGTAACACTGAACTTTTGGCATACAAAGCTATTTAGCAAAGCTCTGGAAAAGCTTACAAAGCAGAAGCTCTCTTCTCTTAACACTACATAATAGCAACCATTCTTGATTTGCAAAAAATTGAAGTATTTTTGTAACACATATCTTTAATGAAAGCAAAATTAACGTCATGTGCTTATTAGTTTATTTTCAAGGAAAAACAGATTTCTTTCAGTATGTGAAGAAAACAGCTCACTCGTTCACCACAAAGTGCAATCCCGAACAACATTAAAAACCTGAAATTAGTGTATGAAAAATTAGGAAACACAATAATTAAAAATGTTCATCCAGACCTATTTTGATTTTTTATATAAAAAGACTGTTTTTAATTACACAATTCATATTCTATTTTCCCCTCCACATCTTTACTTCATTCAGTACAATGAAACATGAACGAGCACCTCTGTTTCATTTCATCTTAGTTTTTTCCAAAATGTAGATCCTATTTACTGCATCTCATTCAAATCCACGTTTAAACTTGTATATAAACACACACGGGTATATATATATATACACTTTTATATATATATATCATATAAAATTATTGCTACCTGGGATTTTCTTCGCTGCACACTGTTGCTGCATTTGAGTGTTGCAAACACTACACTTCACAACAATCCTATAATTAAGTTATTCACATTTTGCAAACAGAATACTGAAGCCTAGACACATGAATATTGAAAACACATTCTAATTTTTAATACTGAAACTTTGGTGTCCATGTGCTGATTTTTTAAAGACATTGGGGTTTTTTTTTGGGGGGGGGCAATTTGTTTGTATTAAGTGCAGTCTTCTAATTACAGCTGTGAGTGCTAGCATGATCAGAACTCATTTGCTCAATAAATACATGAAAAAGCAATAGACTTAAAATCAGAACATAATTATTTGCAGAGAGTATTTTCTGACAGATTAAAAAACAGAATGGGCTAGTAGTTAATCTTTTGCTGTAGTAAAGGGAGGAGGGAAGGTAGAACCTCTACAAAAATCCCAGGCAAACTGGAAGCCAGAAAATTTCAAAGAGAAGTAACCTACAAAAAAACCTGTAAAATATTCCCTACTTCACACAGGCATTTTGAATCAGACAGACAAATTCTGGAATAGCATTCCAGAATGTAGATCCTATTCAGCTGTATGTAAGGGTGGGTCTCACAGTTTCTTACTGTACTCGTTGCTCATACACTTTAAAATTTCTACTAAAAATGGGGAACCTATGGAACAATGCACAGTTAAAGAAGCCCAAAGCTGAACACTGGCATATTGTAATATCTTGAAGGAGATGGAACAAGATGGAAAAATGGGTTGTCTCCATTTAATTGGGGGAGGGAAGGAAATATATGTATAAAAATAAATCAGAAAGTCACTTTCAATCATGCAATAATATTACTAACCGAATTAAGACTGCCATAGTACTGTAACTGTTTTCCATTCATAGAATCATAGAATCGTTTAGGTTGGAAGGAACCTCTGGAGATCATCTAGTCCAACCTCCCCGCTCAAGCAGGGACCTCTAGAGCATATTTCCCAGGATCGCGTCCAGACGGGTTATGAATATCTCCAGCGAAGGAGACTCCACTACCTCTCTGGACAACCTGTTCCAATGCTCTGTCACCCTCACAGTGAAGAAGTTTTTTCTCAGGTTTAGGCGGAACTTCCTGTGGTTCAGTTTCTGCCCGTTGCCTCTTGTCCTGTCACTGGGCACCACGTCTGCCTTCTATGCAATATGTAACCCAAAGTTTTCTGCATCTGTATAAGTATTCTGGGGACCAAATAAGTTAGTAAGCTGTTGCAATTAATTTAAATTATGGCTATACTTCTGATCTTAACACCAGCTATGATTCTTTGTCAAGAATATTAAATGGATATCATAAAACATGTACTAATCCAGCTAGATGGGATCCTACAAACCACAAACTCTGAGGAAAACAATATGCCCAACACTTCACAGAAAAGGATCTTGTCTATGAAAAGAAAATTTTGAAATTGAAACGTGAAACACGAACATAAAAAAATTTTCAAAAACACAACTAGTTATTGATACTTCTCTGAAGCCAGTAAACATAAATACGAGTTGCCAGCACCTATAAACCCACAAAATATAAACAACTAACTTACTTGTATAAGTACAGAGCACTCAAAGACAGTAAGAGCTGTCATGATTATTATTACTTAAGTCACGTAGTTGGCATAAACACAACTTCACAAGTAAAAAGATATCAAACTAAATGGGTAAGCCTGACTATAACATAAAGCTGAGATAGATAAGTCTTAGTAATTAAGGGAGAGTTTTTCATTGTGCCTCAAATACATTTAATTGTCAAATTCTAATTTGACACTCAAACATAGCCAGAAGCGCTGCTAATATTAAGGGTAAAACTGTGAAAACATACCGTGTCAGGTTTCTTTAATGGTAGTTCACCGTCCTCCTCATCTTACTGAGGAAAATTCAATCAAAAAACTAAAAAGGACTTTCGCTTCTGTATTCTTTGAGAAGTTTTTGGAAAGGCAAAACCAATAGCGTCAGCAAGCATCAAAAGGTTATTTCAAGTTAAGAATGCAAGACACAAACATTTTGGGTTCTGGCAGTCTAGCCGAAACCTTGCTTGCAAATTCATCAGCAAAAGTACTACACATTCTTCCATAACAGAGAAGCAAGAAAAAGTGGAGAAAGGGAACACACCTTTCGGCTTTGGTAACTCTGCATATCCGTTATGGAGAGACTCAGCCATTCCCACTTCTTTAATTTTTAGATCTTTATTTACTAGTTATCTAAAAAAACCTATCTCGCTTCCTGTATGTGACAGTGGTGCAGGTCCCAGTTGCAGCCACCAGCCTTTTTCCTTGCCCTGTTTGTTTGCTCCATGGCAGCAGTGTTGCAGCACTGTATATCGGGCTGCAGAACTTAAAGGTCCAGCCATGCTGCTGCTCAGTCAGCTGGTCCACATCGCAGTCAGGGAAAGGTGGTGTGCTCAGCAGGTTCACGCCATCAATCCAACCCAGAAGCGTTTGCTAGCAGGTAAGAACTCTGCATGAGTACATCTTGGTATGCCTTGTTTTTCTTGGTCGTTGGAAGCCACATGCTCCTAAGTCTACTGCCCTGTTTTGCTAATATAAAGAGAAAACCTCTGCCTTTGAACTCACTCTAGGAGCAAGAACTAACTTGTGAAAATTCAGCTCAAGTAGTACTTTAAACAAAGCAAAGGCCAAAACAGCTACAAGAAGAACACAACTGCACTGACCTGACATGGATCACCAACACCAAAAAGTTTCTCATGTGAGATACCTCATTAGTTCTTTTTTCAAAATTAGTACATAGCTCTTATCAAATCCCATTAG